ATCTCTTTCAGGAGGAGATCTGTGGATTCTTTCAATTTCTATTTTGCCCTCTGGTTCTAATATCAGGGCAGTTTTCCTTGATAATTTCTTGAAAGATGATGTCTAGGCTCTTTTTTTGATCATGGCTTTCAGATAGTCCAATAATTTTTAAATTCTCTCTCCTGGATCTATTTTCCAGGTCAGTTGTTTTTCCAATGAGATATTTCACATTGTTTTCTAATTTTTCATTCTTTTGGATTTGTTTACAGTGTCTTGATTTCTCATAAAGTCACTAGCTTCCAATTGCTCTATTCTAATTTTTAAGGAAGTATTTTCTTCAGTAATCTTTTGGACTTCCTTTTCCATTTGGCCAATTTTTCTTTTTAGGGCATTTTTCTCCTCATTGGCTTTTTGGACCTCTTTTGCCATTTGGGTTAGGCTATTTTTTAAGGTGTTATTTTCTTCAGTATTTTTTTGGGTCTCCTTTAGCAAGCTGTTGACTTGTTTTTCATGATTTTCTTGCATCACTCTTTCGTTTTTCCTCTACTTCCCTTACTTGCTTCTCAAAATCCCTTTTGAGCTCTTCCAAGGCCTGGGACTGATTCATATTTTTCTTGGAGGCTTTGGATGTAGGAGCTTTGACTTTGTTGTCTTCTTCTGGTTGTATATTTTGATCTTCTTTTCACCAAAGTAAGATAATATAGTCTGACTCTTTTTGCGCTGCTTGCTCATGATCCCAGCCAATTACTTGAGTTTTAAACTCTTTGTTAAGGTAAGAGTCTGCTTCCAATGTGGAGAATGTACTGTCCCAAGCTTCAGGGGTTTGTACTGTTTTCAGAGATACTTGTAGGGACCTGTAAATTTTCAGTTCTTCCAAGGTGGTATGATAAGGGGTGAGGTGTTTACTCCTTTCCTGGCCTGTGACTACAAGTACTCCTTTCTGTCCTCCTGTAACTGTGAGGAGGGGCTTCTCTGCACAGCCACTACAAGCTCCTCCATGCCCAGCCCGCTGCCCAGAACTGTGACCCAGATCCAAACACGGGCAAAGCAAGAGATTCCTGCCTCAGCACTGGCAAAGAGATCCCTGCGATCCCTCTCTGAGCAGCCACTGGATGCCCCCTCAGTCTGTGGGCCAGAAGCTCGGGAAGCAGCTGCCCCTCCCCAGGGCCACGCTCTTGGGGAATGGAGCTGAAACCCTGCCTTCCTTTCTCAACCGACAGAAACACACTTTTTCCACTGATCTTCTAAGTTGTCTTTGGCATTGGTGGATTGAGGAGTCTGTAAACCTCCACAGGTGCCCGAGATTCAGTCCTCTGAGGCCTGCTCCAGGTTTGCTGCGGCCTGTGCGCGCACGCTGAGCTGTGCTCCCAGCCTGGCGCGTGATACACCTTTCTGATCAATCATCCAGGTTGTCTTGGCCTGGAAATTTGTTTCACTCTGTCTTTTTGTGGGTTTTGCTGCTTCAGAATTTGTTTAGAGCCATTTTTTATGAGTATTTGGAGGGGTTTGGAGGAGAGCTCAAGCAAGTCACTGCTTTCACTCCACCCTATTATTATTATCCTTAAGGAGCCTGGACTTATTGATTGGTATGGGTTATTATTATTAATAATAACATTTTTATAGCACTTTAAAGTTTGCAAAGTACTTTATGTCCTTTTTTGTGTATAAATTTGCAAATATTATCTCATGTGATCCTCACAACCACCTTGTGAGGTAGGTACAGTTATCCCCTTTTTTACAGATTAGGAAACTGAGGCTGAGAGAGGTTAAGGAATATTTGCCCAGGGTCACACAGGTATTAAGGGTCTGAGGCAGAATTCGAACTTAGGTCTTCCTGACTCCAGGTTCAGTGCTCTATCCACTGCACAGCCTACCAGATTATATCATAAAATAGTGGAAACTATATAACACATCACAGCAGGCTGTAAAAAATTAGCATCTATGGCATATGCTTAGAAAGATGCTGTCAAGTGGCTAGAACTATACACCAGAAATTTGATGTCCTTTATTAACTGAAGGATGCCAGATGCCTTTATTACCCCCAAATATCCCTTTATAAATCCCTTTATAAACCCCAAATAATTTTGAGAATTCATTCAATAAACTCTACTGGAAGTAGAGTATCATTAGAGACAGAACTGTTGCCCACAACTACTCAGACACAACATTGATAAACAAACATTTAAGAATAATAGTTTTAATAGATGTTTCCATACCTAACATTCACCATCTTCAACCCATATGGAATGAAGCATTTTTAAAATATAGAGACATGTCAGAATGGTAGCTTTTGTAGAGAGAGGACTAGCTTGCTTTTCTGCTGGTGCTCCCTCAGCACTTAACAGGGGCTTCATGCACAGTAAACAGTTAAGCAAAACCTTTTCCTACCTTTCTTCCTTCATTCCCCTTGTAGAAGAAATTAGAAGCATGTAGGAGCAGGAAGAAGCCCCCCGCATCTCTCCCCACTTGGCTGCTACTGGCAGCTAGATGTCCCAAAGATGTTTCCAGCAAATCCACAGAAAGATGAGCTAATATCCCAGTACTCTTACTTCATTTACAAAAAGCAGTCATTTCATCCACCTGAACAGAACATTCAAAATAAAACAAGAACAGGGTAGACATTTGGCCTTGGACACTATCTGAAGGGATGAGAATGAATAATAATAAGTTTTATTGATTACTGGTTCTCTGAATTCATCACTTCCTTCCCTCCTTCCCTCTTTCCTTCCTTCGTGTCTGTCTGTCTGTCTGTCTGTCTGTCTCTCTCTCTCTCTCTCCCCCCTACCAGGGCAGCTAGGTGGCTGAGTGCATAGAGCGCTGGGTCAATGACTCATCTTCCTCATTTAAATTTGGCCTCAGACACTTACTAGCTGTGCGATCCTGGGCAAGTCCTTTAACTCTGTTTGCCTCAGTTTCCTCATCTGTAAAATGAACTGGAGAAGGAAATGGCAACCACTCCAGTATCTTTGCCCAAATGGCATCTTCCTTGGTCAAATGGTGGTAATAAAAGCACTTGCCTCATAGAGTGCTTGTGAGGATCGATTGAGATAACATATGCAAAGCTCTTTGAAAACCTTAAAATTATATAAATGCTACCTATTATTATTATCTGCACATCAGCCCCTTGTCTGGAATTTGTAGTCCTAGAGAGTTGCCTGGGGCACTGAGAAATGAAGTCACTTACTTGCCATGGGTCACCCAGTCAGCGTGTGAGAGGTGGGATACCTGTTATTTCTTATTGTACATTACATTTGTATACCACGGTTTGTTCAGCTGAATCCTAATCTGTGGGCACTCTTTTTGTATCTAGTTTTTTGCTACCACAAAAAGTGCTCCTATAAACATATACACACACATTTATGTGTGTGTGTGTGTATATATATTTAATATATATATATTTTAAACCTCAAGCATATACCTTAGTAGTGGGTTCGCTGGCTCAAAGGGCATCAATAGTTTAGTTGCATAATTCGGAATTGTTATCTAGAATGGTTGGACCAACCTATACCTGTTCCAGTGGTATATTAGTGTGCCCATCTTCCTACTACCCCTCCAACATAGCATATTTCCATCTTTTATCATCTTGGCCAATTTGCAGGGTATAATGTTAAACCTCAGAGTTGTTTTATTTTTCATTTTTCTTATTACTAATGCTTTGGAGCATGTTTACATGTGGATGTTTATGGTTTGTAGTTCTTTTGAAGACTATTTGTGCATATCTTTTGAAGCATCCTTTGAAGTTAGATATTTCTGAGCTTCTCTGCTTTTGACAGAGAGACAAGTCTAGCTGTTGTCCAAATGGCTGAAGTCACCTATGACCACAATTTTGCAATTTGTTTCCCAAATTCCTTGTCTAGTTCCTTCTCCTGTCCAGGTAGTTGACTTGATGACTATATCAGTCCCATTTCACCCTCTGGCTCCTCACCCAGGTACTCTCCACCATGGTTTTCCCCTTGATTTCTTGGATTTCCTCCCTTGAGTCTATACAGTAATTAGGGCCACCCTCAAATTAATCAGAGAAGATGAGAGCAGAAAACCCTGGGCCACCACAGCTGTGCCACTAAAAGCTTCAGGGAATCTTTCCTTTTGTTCACTTACCCACTCTCTCACTGAAATTCTCCTAAGCACTGGGCTACTCAAACTGGTGTTGCTATGTAGGGAATTAAATAATGAATCCAGATTTTTAAATAGAGGAAAGAACTTAAGGTAGGTGGGTATGAACATAAAAGAGAAGTACAATGCACGTCCAGAGAAAGAACTATGTAGTCTGAATGCAGATGGCAGCATACTATTTGCTCCCCTTTTCCTTTGTTGTTTTGTTTTATTGCTTCATTCTCGTGGTTCCTCCCATTAGTTCTAATTCTTCTTTACATCGTGACTAATGGGAAAATATGCTTAATATGAATGTATAAGTAGAACCTATATCAGATTGGGAGGGGAGAGGAATGGGAGAGGGAGAAAATTTAAAACTCAAAATCTTATGGAAGTGAATGTTGAAAACTAAAAATAAATAAATTAATTGTAAAAAAACCCCCAGAAGTACAGCCATTAGTGTCAGAAGTGCTAAAGGCAGAGGGTGCTGGAGCCAGTGGATAGAGAGATGATTGTCAGATTTTCAGTGTTAGCATTTATGCCCTTGAAAATTGAAAACACTACAAATCAGCACTTGATTTATTGTTTTGTTGATTATCTAGACCTAAGAATGTGATGGAAAAAATGTTAATTATGCAGGTTAAACTTTAAAGCGTGTTCTGTCTACATGTTTTTTTTTTTTCCCTGGAGAACTAGTTGTTAAACTTTTATCAGCATGCCACTGGCTAAAGGCCACAATGAGCTGTGACCAATGCTAAGGACGACAAAAAGTTGTGTGTTTTTTAAAAAAACTAGGTTCGGGGCAAGAGGAGGACCAAAGGAGAGATTGGCCTACTTCTTGGAGTGGGAAGGATGATAATAATAGTGGATGGTGAGAAAGCTAAAGTACTTGATTTTCATTTTGATTTTGTTTTCTTTGTCAAGGAGAATGACTTCAGAGTAGGAAGGGTAGAACAGAGATGGCCAACACAGGATTGAAATCAAAGGTAAATGAAGAGATGCTAAGAGAACAAGGAGCTGCCCTTGTAACAAACTCAAGGTAAGTGGGAGGGACCTTGAGGAGGGGGACATATTTACATCACTTATATTTCCCAATGTATCCCTCACCCCCAGCCATCTCTTACAACAAAGAACACAAAAGATGGAGGAAAACAGTTCACCAAAACTTGCCAACACAGTACAAAAGTGTGACATTTGTATCTGTCACATCTCAACATCTGCAAGGAGCAGAAGAGGTGTCTTCTCCTATCTCTTTGGAGCCGAACTTAATCATGATAATTTCCTAGCATTCAATTTTGATTGTTTTGTTATTGCTTTCTGGAACACACTATTACATCAATGGCTTTTGAGCTTTTGGAAAGGTCAGAGTGATTACAAAATGCTGCGTGGCTTTCTCAAGAACACATCTTGTCCGACTAGCCTCGTGTTCTTTTTTGACAGGGTCACTAGATTGGTAGCTCAGAAGAATGCCTAGGATATAATTTGCCTTGATTTTGGCAAAGAGTTTGACAGAGTCTCTTGTGCTGTCCTTGTAGACAAAAAGGAGGAATGTGGGTCATGATAGTACTTATTAGGAGGATTCTGAACTGGCTGAACTAGAACTGGTTGGCACCATGTAGTAGACATTAATGAATTGGTGTCAACTTGGAGGGAAGTTTCTAACAGAGTGCCCTAGGACTCTATTCTTGGCCTTGTGTATATTATTAATGGCAATCATTTATCAGTACCGAAACCATGGAAAGTAAGAGGGATAGCTTCAAGGCTCTCCCTTGAGATATATCAACAGGCTACATGGCCATACTTAATAAAGATGAAATTTAATAGGGATAAATATCAGATTGAAAAACAAATCAGCTTCACCAGCACAGTATGGGGGAGAGGAGATGTGGCTGTACAACAATCAGAGAAAAAGCCGGGGTTTCTAGTGGACCGCATGCTTAGAAGTGAGTGAGCCCTGTTCATGTTTTTGAATATTTCGGTGGATCCCTGATCTTGGTAACGTGGGCACTCCTTCAGTGCAGGGCTCATCCAGTCTTTCATGTCCTGTGCACTTCTTGTCAATGGTCTTCTCTATAGATCTTCCACCAAAGATACAGACAACATACTGGAGGCCTTCCTTTAGGTCTCTTGATGTTTTGTGGATACCAGTATTCCACTGGGGCTGTCCATCTGTTAGCCTTCCATCTCTTGACATGACTGGCTCATCTTCATTTCCTTTTTTATAAAATGAATTTGTTCTCATCTTAAATTTTTTTTCCTTTCATTTTGGGTCATTTTGGGGTTATTTTTGGTTATTATTGTTTACTTGGTTTTAATTTTTGGGGTATTATTTTTTAGTTATATTTTATTTGGTTATTTTGTTATATTTTGGTTATTATTTTTTGTCATTTTGGGGGTTATTTTTATTTTTGGTTATTTGGTTACGCACCAAATAAAATAAGCATTTTGATATACAAAGAAGAATGAAAAAAGAAGGCTGTGCACAGAACTGTGAATCTCCATTACATACAGCTTGTTCTTTTTTTAAAAACTAAACATTGATAATAAATTCAGTATGCTGGTTGTAAAGCCATCCCAATTGTCTGCATTTCTCTTTCAACATCATTCTGTTCTCTGTGCATTTTTAATTCTTACTTAATCTATATTTTTTTGCATCACCATCAGTTAGCCCCTCTCTCCTCACTGATTTCCCCCTGCTTAAAAATGTAACAACAACCTTCCCTGCCCCCACCAGATTCTCCTTATGACCAATAAGCATAGTCAGCAGAAACCTATCCACATGTCTGCCGTGGCTGAAAACGTGTGTCTCATTTTGTACTTTTAGTCCATCTCGTCTGTCAAGGGGTGGGCAGCACACTTCATCATTGGGCCTCTAGAAATGTCATTCCTCATCGTATTGATTGGATTTCTTAAGTTTTTCCAAGTTTCTTTTCTTTACAACGTTGCAATCATTGTTTAAATTGTTTTCATGCCTCTGTTCCCTTCATGGTATGGTATAGTGGGTAACACACTGGTCTTGGAGCCAAGAAGCCCTGAGTTCCAGTTCCATCTTTAGACAATGATTAGCTGTGTAACCCTATGCAAGTCCCTTCTCCTCCCTGAGCCTCAGTTTCCTCCTCTGCAAAATGAAGGGGTAGAACTAGGTGGCCTTGGAGGGCCCTGCCAGCTTAGTTCTAGGCTCCTATATGTGACCTTGGACAAATCATTTCCCCTCTTGGTGCTTCAGTTTCCTTGTCTGTAAAATGAGGAGACTGTTCCCTTAGGTGGACCCCTGAGGTGTCTTCTAGCTCTAGATCTAGGATCCTGTGATCTTATGATTCTTCACTGAGTCATACAAGTCTTCCCAGGTTTCTCTGAAACTATCCTCTTCATCATTTCTCAAGACCCAGTGCTATTTCGTCCCATTCACATGCCACAATTTGTTCAACCATTCCCCAGTCAATGGGCATCCTTGGTTTCCACTTCTTTGCTACAACAAAAGAGCTGCTGTAAACACAGGATGTCCCAAAAGACTTAGTGTAGCTTTAAGTTTTCTTTTAAAGCCTCAAACTGCACCAAGATTTTTGGGACACCCTCCATTTTTATGCATACAAATCCTTTATCTCTTTGGAATATAAGCCTAGAAGTGGATTTCTTTTATTTTTATACCACCTACATTTCCCAATGTTTCCCTCCCAGAGAGCCATCCCTTATAAACATAAAAATCAAAAAGGAAAACAACAACAACCATACCAACAGTACAGTAGAACAAAGCAACACATTAAACAAATATGACATTCTGTGCAGTGTTGCACACCCATAGACCCCTGCTTCTGCAAAGATTGGGGGGGGGCACCTCTTTTTCCAATTGGATGTTTCCTTGTTGGCCTCCTTTATAATTAGAGCTCTGCTATAGCTGATTTATATCCCCACCTTGCCTGCCTTCATTGCTTCTTGGGACTCTGGCCTCTGATTCTTTGGAGACAACAGTATTTGTTTTTTTAATTAATAAATTTATTTATTTTTAGTTTTCAACAATGACTTTCATAAGATTTTGAATTCCAAATTTTCTCCCCATCTCCCCTCTCCCCCCACCCCAAGACGGCATGTAAATTGATATAGGCTCAACATATACTTTCATATTAAACCTGTTTTCACATTAGAGACTACGGTATTTGAAGATACTGTATTCCTATACCCACCCAGCATGCAGTGCCACCAATAGAACACTGTCCTTAATGAGATGGCTTTGGGGGCCAGGGAAGCTCTTCAGATATTTGGAGAGAGCAATTTCAGGTGAGTGACATGAGCAAAAGCCAGATTGCAAGTGGTTTAGAATAGCTATCACTTTTTAATGTTTGCAAGGCATTTTACTTATGTCATTTGGCCCTCATATTGCGATAGATGCTATAATTATCCCCATTTTACAGATGAAGATATCAAGGCTGAGAGAGGTGGCTCAGTGGATAAAACACCTGGCTTGGAGTCAGGAAGACCTAAGTCCAAATCTGGCCTCAGACACTTACCAGCTCTGTGACCATGGACAAGTCAGTTAACCTCTTTTTTGCCTCCGTTTCCCCATCTGTAAAATGGGAATAATAATAGCACCCACCTCTCAGGGTTGTTGTGAGGATCAAATGAGATAATAATTGTAAAGCATTTAGCATAATGCCAGGCATATAGTAAACACTATATATGTTGTGGTTGTTGTTATGTGACTTGCCCAGGGTCCTGAAGATAGTATCTGAGACAGGCTTTAAAGTCAGCTCTTCCTGATTCCAAGTCCAATGCTCTATCCATTGCTTAAAGTTGAGTGGGAAGGGAGGAAGTAGAAACAAGTATAGCTGACATTTTCTTTCTTTTTTTTTTCCCATTTCGATCATCTGTTGCTCATAGGATTTTTTTTTTTTACTATTGTTGTTAGGAGGAAATAAGGAATCATCATCAGTCTGGTGATTTCCTGAGGAATAATATTTTTTGAATTGGAGGAGGAAGATGGAAATGCCTGAAATGAGGAGTCTTAGAACAGTATTGATATTTCTGGGGTTGCTCCTCTTGCAGAGTACACTGATTTGGGGTCACCAGGGAGGTTATCAACCAGTCAGTGTCTATGTGTTTCCAGTGAGTAGAGAATCATTGTGTTCTAGAGTTGGAGGGACACTAGATAATTGTAACCAACATTTCTATATTGTGTAGCTAACAGTTTCAAAGGGCTTAGATGTGAATATTTCATCAATGCATCTGATTCTTGTATCTTTTGGACAGTTAGTGTGTTGCTGATGGTTTCTGATGTTTTTGCTGATGTGCCTATGGGCTCTCAAAGGGAACTTAGGTTCACAGATTTAAGCAGGTCATCTAGTCCATCCCCCTTCTATTACAGATAAGGAAATTGAGGCCCAGAGAGGTAAAGTCAAGGTAAGTTGCTGAAGGTCACATAGATAGTAAATGGATCTTCTGACAGTGCATAGACGGTGCCACACTGCCTGGAGCAGCTGGCAGCTGGGTGGCAAGTTTGTCCCTGAGCAACTGTCAGTGAATTCAGGGCAACTAGGAGCTGAAATGCACCTAATAACTAGTAATAGCACGGTATACGTCAATTCTGAAGCACCACCAACTGGCCAGATCACCCCAGAAGGCTTGTTCATCTCTTGGACCCCATGTGCATCTTGTTCCTTCATTTTACTTATCCATGGCCTGTGGCTGTCTTAGAATGCCACCATTTAGTTACCACCATGTTCCTGTAGCACGGTTTGGAAGGGCAGATAATTAGGGACTTCACATTGCATAATTCAAGTAGTCTTTGGAAAGGAACATAATTGAAAAGGTCATGTTCTGGGAATATGTGCTCTCAGATTTTATTAAAACCTCTTTGCTGATTTTCCCAGGTAAGCAAATGTCACAGATGAAATATAAACAGTGGTTAATTTCTCCTTGGATTTTTGATTTGCATCAGACATGGCCAACACTGTGTTCCTCTTATATAACCCAATCCTGAAGGATTGTTAGGTTAGCTCATAAAAATGTCTCTTTTGAGTTTGACACTGAAATTTTAGTCATTTT